CGAACGAAACCATTACTGGGGCTGTCTACCGAACACAATTGATGAGATTGAGTCGAGCACTCAAGGAAAAGCGCGCCCACTACTCCAAACACGACAAAGTTATTCTCCTGCATGATAATGCTTGTGCACATGTTGCGGCGTCGGTCAAAACCTACTACTGCTTGGGAAGGAAACATGGATATTCAATTTGTAGGTGAAAAATCTACGTTATTAACTTGGTATACTATAAAATATGTTTCCAAAGCAGAAAAGAGTAATAACGCAGAAGATATATTTGAAAAGATAAATTCAACAAAATCGTTGAGAAGTTGTCTTTGGAATATTGGAATGCGTATGTTAAATCATAGAGAATGTGGAGCTCTCGAAGCTGTTGACACTTTATTAGGAATACCATTATATGGTACTGATAAAGAAACTACTATAAGATGGTTAGATGTAAATATGATTAGAAGTAGAAAACTTAAATCTCGCAAAGTGATTGAAATGCTAAATTCTGAATCTATGGATATTTTTTGTCCTTCTCTAATTGATACATATTATCCAAGCAGACCTAAAGAAGTAGAATCTACTAATTTGTATGATTATGCAAAATGGTATGACATTACGAAAACTAAACCAATTTCTAAGACAATAAAGTATTACGTGCTTGGTAAATCTTTATATTTAAAGGAACGTAAACGTGGATATCTTATCAATCGTTACAAATATAATGTCTATACTCAACCAGAGCGTTACTATTTTTCATTATTATTATTATTTCAATCTTGGAGAGATATTAGTGAATTAAAGATTGAATATGATAATTATGCAGAAGCATTTTCTTTAATACAATATAAATTGAAAGATGCTCTTCAGTATCATGAAAAAATAACCGACATTCAACAAGGTATGGATAATATTAAAGAATTAATTGAAAAAGAAATATCAGAAATTACAAAAAATGAAGATGAAAATGACTGTCTTAAAAATGGTGCATTAGAATGTGTTCCTGTCGAAGTTGAAGGAGCTATGAGGGACTTTAAAGATGTTGGCAATAAATTTGAAGGTAATGTCGATGAAATGGTGACGCAATTAAATATCGATCAAAAATTAATCTTTGATAGAATTACTGCTGGTATATCTGATGATAATAGTGAAGTTCTTAGACTTTATGTAAGCGGTGAAGGTGGTACTGGAAAGAGTTTTTTGATAAAAACTATTAGATGTTGGATTAAAAAATATATTGAAAAAGACACAGCGGTAACTGCACCAACCGGTATAGCAGCTTTTAATATTGATGGACTTACTATTCATAGATTATTTCAATTACCGGTAGAACATGGTCGTACTGCCAAATATACACAACTTTCTGATGGAGTTCTTAAAATTATACGAGAGAAACTTAAGAATGTTGTTTTAATAATTATCGATGAAGTTTCAATGATTTCAAATATCACTTTAATGTACATACATCTTCGATTAACAGAGATATTTAATACCATGGATTGCGATAATGGATGGTTCGGCAAAAAACATATACTTCTTTTTGGAGATTTATTGCAACTTCCACCTGTGCATGAAGATCCGCCTTTTATTGAATTATCAAAATTAAAAATTGAGAAATACATTGGTGCAATGGGTTCTATAAATTTATGGTCTTTATTTAGTTATGATGAATTACAAATTAATGTACGACAACAAGGTGATAATTCTTATCGAGATATATTAACGAGAATTCGAATTGGAACAATTACAGATTCGGACGTAACTATTTTAGAAACGAGGAAAATCAATTTTAGAGAAACTAATTGTAACGACCGATTACAAGAATTATGTAATTATTTACAAAATTTACCAATGGATACTGTTTGCTTACTTCCAACTTGTGCATTATGTGATATTTTGAATACTGCAATGTTAAATCGTATTTCTTCGGATAAGATAGAACTCGTTGCTCAAGATCTGGCAGAATGTGCACCATATTTAAAGAAAAAAGTTATGAAGATATTAAATAAAGATGATGAAGATAGTTCTCGAACAGCTGGATTAGCAAGAATCATAACTGTCAAATTAGGAGCACGTATAATGGTTAGAAGAAATATCGATGTTAGTTTAGGTCTTGTAAATGGTACGATTGGTACAATTACATCAATTATACGTAGCGCAATTGACAATGAAGTAGAAAAAATTAAGATAATAGTGTCATCAGGAATAGAGCATATTATAGAACGTTTAAATGTCAAGTTTGAAGTAATGGATAGAGCATTTGTTATAAGAAAACAATTTCCTATATGTCTAAGTTATGGTATGACTATTCATAAAAGTCAAGGCCTGAGTTTAAAACATGCTGTTGTGGAAGCTGGAAATTCTATATTCAGTTGTGGACAAGTATATGTCGCTCTTTCACGAGTGACTACCCTGAGTGGATTGCACCTTATAAATTTTGATCCCTCTTCTGTAAAAGCAAATGAGTTAGCTATAATAGAATATAATAGATTGCGAACACAATACAGGCCAGATCTTATACATATTAATATTTTGAAACAACGTGTTCACAAGATTCGTGATACAATTTGGGCAATATCATCAAAAAATATCTTGGAATGTCAAGTTAATGATAAGGATATTAATGATTCTACTTTATGGCATATAAGAGGACTTCCAAATGTTAATAATATATCCTGCTATGCTAATGTGTCAATTCAATGTATACTTCATTCTTCTATTCTCAGAAAATTGTTGCTTCGTCTTGAACATAGAAATATTATAAGAAGATTTATTAATTGTTACATGTCAAACGACGAAACTATTAATATAATGGCAATACGCCAATTGGCAGGAGATCAATATCTTGAAAAGATTCAACGAGATGTTAGTGAGTTTATTATACATCTTATTAATAACATAGATAATATAAAGAGTGTAATCGAGCATCAATTAAACATAACTTTACGATGTAAGGTATGCAACTATACAAACACAAAAATTTATACAAATTATATATTATTGCTCCAATTACCCGAAAATTTAAAAAAATCATATACTTTACAAGAATTAATACAATATAATTTTTCACATTGGAATAATGTTGAAAAATATGTACCAATTGTAATGCTGTCTCTGTACTTGAAAAGACTGATATAATAATAACAGGAAGTATTATTATCTTACAGTTATCATTATTTAAAATTAGTGATACAAAAATTATTAAAGTAACAGATTTAAAAATTAAAGGTGTACCTACAGAAAAGATATGTATTGGTGCAAATATATATAAAGTTATTAGTGGAATTTTTCATCAAGGTAAAAGTACAACTGATGGACATTATACAAACATAGTACGTGCTAAAGGTACCGAGTGGCAATTAATAAATGATTCAAAAGTACAAAAGTGCAGTTGGCCTCGAAATGCTAAAAACGCATATACATTTTTTGCAGAAAAAATATAAATTTTTACAAAAAGCAATGAGATCACCTAAAAAAAACCTCACAAAGATAAAAAAAAAATACGCCAAGTATATAAAAAAATCCCAACACGCAAAAAAAGT